GGTGTCCTTGTGTAGATTGTCAGAATTGTTGTATGTACACTGATTTTGCCAAAATAGAAGAGCATTTGATAATTCGTGGGTTTATGAGAGATTATACGTGTTGGTCACGACATGGTGAGATATTGGTTGATCATAATGTAGCCCCTTCTGAGTATAACGATGATATTGATGATACAAACGATAACAACTATGATAACTTATCTGGAATGTTACATGATTGTGAAGACAGTGTTGCTGAAGATGATTATGAAAAATTTCAACAATTATTTGATGAATCAGAAAAACCGTTATACACTGGGTGTACAAAGTTTACCAAACTATCCGCTGTGTTGAAATTGATTAACTTAAAAGCAAACAATGGTTGGAGTGATACAAGCTTCACAAGTCTTCTAAAGATTTTGCATGAGATGCTTCCGGATGATAACGAGTTACCTATGTCCACTTACCAAGCAAAAAAATTGATGTGTCCAATGGGAATGGAAATTGAAAGAATACATGCTTGCCCAAATGATTGTATGTTGTATCGAAACGAATATGCAGATCTACATAGTTGTATTACATGTGGTACATCACGATACAAAAGGAAAAATCCTACAGAAGAAAACAATAATATGAGAGCGAGTGGACCGCCTGCTAAAGTCTTATGGTATTTGCCTATCATTCCAAGATTAAAACGGTTATTTGCAAACGGTAAAGATGCAAAGTTAATGTGATGGCATGTTGAGCGTACAATAGACAACAAAATAAGGCATGTTGCAGATTCTCCTCAATGGAGAAATATCAATTCTAATTTTGAAGAGTTTGGTCAGGATATTAGAAATGTTAGGTTTGGACTTAGTTCTGACGGCATTAATCCATTTGGAAGCTTAAGCAGTCGCCATAGTACATGGCGAGTTCTTCTTTGCATCTACAATCTTCCGCCTTGGTTATGCATGAAAAGAAGATACCTCATGATGTCGTTACTAATTCAAGGTCCAAAACAACCGGGAAATGATATCGATATTTATTTAGCTCCATTAATTGAGGACATGAAAAAATTGTGGAGTCCGGGTGTCGAAGTGTATGATGCATATAGTGGGGAAAATTTCCAACTTCGGGCCATGATTTATTGCACGATAAATGATTTTCCAGCATATGGGAATTTGTCTGGATATAGCACAAAAGGAGCAAATGCATGTCCAATTTGTGAAGATGACACACAGTCGTTCTGGTTGACAAATTGCAAGAAAAATGTATATATGGATCATCGAAGATATCTTCCAAAAAATCACCCATATCGCAAGAAAAAAAAGGTGTTCAATGGTAAAACCGAGGAGAGGACAGCAAGGAAACCATTACGAGGAGAAACTGTATTTTCTCGTGTTGAAAATCTAAACGTTACATTCGGAAAATTCAAAGGTAATGGCAAAGGAAAACGTAAACGTACTGGTATAACTCCTCCCAAAATTATTTGGAAGAAAAGATCTATATTTTGGGAGTTACCATACTGGAAACACTTGCAGGTTCGCCATTGTCTTGACATTATGCATATTGAAAAAAATGTTTGTGAAAGCTTGATAGCCTTATTGTTGAACATCAAGGGAAAGTCAAAAGACGAGATTAATGTTCGAGAAGACATGATTGAAATGGGAATTCGCCCCGAGCTTGCTCCTATTAGGAATCCTGGAAAGCGTACGTATCTGCCAGTAGCTTGTTATACCATGTCAAAGGATGAGAAAACAAAATTTTGTAAATGCTTACATGGTGTAAAGGTTCCATCGGGCTATTCGGCTAACATTAAGAAGTTAGTGTCAATGAAAGAACTAAAACTATTTGGTATGAAGTCCCATGATTGCCATGTTTTAATGGCACATATGATTCCCATTGCAATTCGTGGAATACTACCAGACCGCATCCGACACACAATCACAAAGCTATGCTTGTTTTTCAACATGATTCATTCTAAAGTTATTGATCCCGAGGTGTTAGATTCATGGGAAAGTGATATTATCTTGACGTTATGCCAACTCGAGATGTATTTCCCACCTTCATTTTTTGATGTCATGGTTCATCTGACATCTCATATCGTTAGAGAGATAAAGTATTGTGGGCCAGTATTCTTACGATACATGTATCCATTTGAGAGATATATAGGCGTCTTAAAAGGGTATGTAAGGAATAGACATCGACCAGAGGGTAGTATTGTTGAAGGATACGCAACAGAAGAGGTAATTGAATATTGTACTGACTATCTACAAGGTGTCAATAGTATTGGCATTCCAAAATCTCGACATGAGGGTAGACTTGTAGGGAGTGGGACAATTGGATTGAAAAAGATCATTCCAAATCGAGAAGACTTACAACTTGCACATTTTACAGTCCTACAACATATGACAATCATTGCTCCATATATAAATGAGCACAAAAGAACACTGGAATTGTCAAATCGTGGTAGGAGCAATAGATGGTTGGTTAAGGAACATAACAAAACGTTCTCACAATGGTTAAAAGACAAAGTGAGAGCAAGTTATGGCATCGATAGTGTCGATCAAGCTGTAGTACATCTAGGGAATGGTCCTGAAGATCTTGTGGCAACGTACCAAGGATACGACATTAATGGTTATACATTTTACACTAATCAACAAGATGGAAAAAGTACACTTCAAAATAGTGGTGTAACAGTAATAGCCTCAACTGAAGTATATGGAGATAGTCATGATACAAGGGTGAGGATCGCCAAAGAATCATACTATGGCGTCATTAAGGAAATATGGGAATTGAAATATGATTCCATCATTATACCTATGTTAAAATGCAAATGGGTTGACAACCAACGAGGTGTTAAAGTTGATAATGATGGTTTTACAGTTGTTGACCTTTCCACAAACGGATATGTATCTGAACCATTCATCCTAGCTAAACAGGCTACCCAGGTATTCTATGTTGAGGACCCAAAGGAATCGGGAAAGCACATCGTTATGCATAGCAAACGACATATACTTGGTATTGATGATGTTGTGGATGAGGAAGAGTACGACCAGTTTGATGAACTACCCCCATTTTCTATCGGCATTCCATCTTCAAATGATGATGTTGATGACACCATTTACTTACGGTCAGATCACAATGAAGGAATATGGATATCATAACCCACACCTGGGGAAAAAATGAAGAGGATTTGAGTGAGGTCTCAGACAAAGATATGATTGGCGATGAGACGTGTCATTATATAATATGTTTTAATGTCGTTTGAATTTTAATTATTTATGTTTGTATTAATGTTTTAGTTTGAACATGTTTCCATGAATGTTTTTTATTTTCATTTGGATGTTTAAGACTTACGTTTCTAAAATTCGGATATGTTTGCATCAAGAATTTATTCATGTTTAATTATCAATTTTATTTATGAAATCTGACCCACGAACCCAAATATGGCCCACAAACCTATGAACCCAAATCTGACCCACTAACTTATGAACCCAAATCTGACACAGGAACTTGCCAACCCGTGAACTTATATAAATATGTGGGTTGACAGGTCATATATGAGTTTATATTCTAAACCTGCCAAACCATGACATTTATATTTAAATGGGTCGTGTTCGGGTTGGTATATTTTGACTTGCTAACCCGCAACCCATCAACTCGATCACGACACGATTGTCAGGTCTACTTTTAATCATATGGTGTTGTTTAGGAAAAGAAAACTTAAGGTCCTTTAAATAATGCACCAAAGACACACACTTTAGCCTCAACCACACTCAAAATGGGGGTTAGATCGATTAGGGTTTGCTTATGGACACAAAAATGTGATAATGAGGCTGGAAGGAGGACTTAAGGTCCTTTAAATATGGAACAAGCTCTAAAAATTAGGGTTTTGATACACAGCCTCAACTTGTCGAGTTTTTCTTAAAAGCTCGTCGAGTAGAGAGCTTCCTTCACGTCGAGTTTGTGTACATAAACTCAATGAGTTGCCGAAGAAAATTGCCTTTTAAACCATAAATCTTATTCCTAAAAACCGGGTAGTGCCCCAGGGTTCGGGGTTTCCAAAAGGGTGGCGCCCCTGGCTGGGGTCCCGCTGCCAGGTCAGCGGGCAGGGTTTGGGGCAGCGCCCCAAAACCTCTCTAAATTTTACATGCGGGAACATAGTGGGAAATTTAGATTCTTAAGTGTGACTTGCTTCAAAAGCAACTCATGACAACCCAACAAACCCTACTATTTCTAACAATGGACCGATTCCCGATTGTTCTCATTTGATTGGTTCCCAATCTGGTTCGAGACATGTACGTATAAAAGATGGGTTTTAAAAAAAATAAATATTACTTGTTTTTTTTTTGTCAAATCAACACATTATTTTGATAATGATATATATTAGAATTCAATAAACAAAAGGTATCCATTGGAACTTATATAAGAATATAAAAGTCAAGTTTGAAAATTTTAAGTTACTTAATTAATGAAACATATACCGTAAAAAAAATTAACCATTTACTTTTCAGATTGGGCGCTGATTTTTCAGAAAAATCTATTGACATTTCCACGGAATAGTTAATATGTGGACAATTATGTCCCTCAACACATTTATACTCCCTTTTATGATTTTGAAGAGAGGGAAAGATTAAACCATATATCCCTTTTTTTATGGAAAAAACTTATCATATGAAATCTATACTTTCTTTCTCTTTTAAAAAATTTAAAGAATTAAAAACTATAACCCTTTTTTTAAAATTCAAGCTCAACAATGTGGTGCATGATACATAAGGGGCTGTGATCCTTGGGCTTTATTTAAGGTATTTTACACTTAAATAGGTTAAGGGTATAATTGTCTTTCCATCAATTATTCAGTGGCAGCATCAAAACAATTAAGGGGAAAAATCAACTCCCTTTCATATTTGGCTGATATAACTTTTGGTAAAGTTTTGGAAGATCCCGCCATGGGAATTGTACAACCCGCCACAAATTTTGGGTAAAATCAAAACCCCAAAAGACGTTTTCACTGCTTACACCTCGCATTGTCTTCGATGCACAACCAACCGGCGATTTCACTAGCTACCACAAAATCACGGGAACACCATTGTGCGGCGATTCCTCCTCCTGGTCCTTATCTTTTCCTCGATTTCCCCTGTCCCTTACCTCATATTAGCAAGTCTCCAAGTCTGCAGGTCACGAATTAATTGCTAGGGCAGCAGTCTTCGTATACACGACTCACATCTCTATTGCTCCTCTTTTTTCCACTGCTAACATCTTCCACTCTTGCAAATTGTTAGTTTTATATGTTGATATTTGATTTGTGAATGTTTTACTAGAGGGGTTTACTTAGGTTTTGTAAAATCGTTGATTTATAGTAGTGTGTACATTTATATACACATAAACATGTTTGGAAGGAGAAATACACACAAAAATGCATAACCATAGCATTCTTTTTTAGTTTAAACTTATCACTTGATGTGTTTTTTCTTCTTCATGTTTTGATGATTTTTTTTTCACTTGTTACTACTTTATAAGAGAGTTATTGGTGATATCATGTTGAATTGTTTTTGTATTCTATTCAGGTTGGTGGTTGAGCCATTTGCAAATCACCTACAATAAAGATGATGAATGATCAGCCACAACAACAACCGGTACCACAACCACAACCGAGGAAAAAAAGAACAACCACACGTCTAAAAGATATAACAGAGCCACAAGAAGTTGAATTTAACAGTCTTGGTCAGCATTGTGGCGCTAATCAAAATAAGTTTGCCAATGACTGCGGGCTGTTACGAGAAACTTAATTTCTATCGAATATCCGACTTGGAAAAAAGTGCCAGCAAATGAAAAGGAGAACTTATGGTTGACCATCAAGGTTTCTAATCTAATACACATTACATGTGTTTTCATTTAATAAATATATGTTACTGATAGTCATTCTTTAAAAAAAAAACAAAAACAGAAACGTTGGAATATCCATGATGAAAACCGCAAATCATATGTGCTTATGACTTGCAACCACAAGTGGAGATCATACAAAAAGAGGCTTAAAAAAAATTTCTTGGTCAATGAGAATGAAAGAAATCCACTTGAAACCTACTCATATCTGGAAAAGACAGCATTGCAAAAATTTAAGGAAAGGATATCATCAAAGGAATTCCAGGTTTGTAGGGTATAATGTCTCTTGATGATATTAATCATTATGTTCCAGTTTTATAATTGTGATTGTTGTTTTTATCGGCAGGACATAAGTGAGAAAGCAAGGATTACTTCAATGTGTAATACGAATCCAGCCCGAGTAGGCCCACATGGTTATCGGGGCAACAAACCTAAGTGGGAACAAGAGAAGGAATCAGGTCAGCTGCCGTCACAGCTGTATGAGATAAAAAGCGAGCGTTCACTAGACTATGTGTTGGGGAGAAGATCTAAAAATGAGTCAGGGTCAAAAATAATACCACCTAACATGGAACCCATAGTAAAAAAGCTTGTAATATTGTTCTTAATTTTGTTTTTTAAAATTTATTAATATTTTTTTGTCTAAGTAATTGTATTGACTATTATGTTGTTTGCATTAACAGATAGATGTTCAAAAAGAAATATCCAATGGTGATTTGTTGCCGGGTCCTGGAGAAGATTTGTTGACTATGGCAATAGGACCGGAGCATCCTGGTCGCACTAGGGCGGTGGGGCATGATATCGGCTTAAGAAAGGGGATGCAAGGACTTGACAAAAAAAAGAGGAAAGTCGTGGACAAAGAACTTGTTAGTAAAATGCAGGTCCAGTTAGATGAAACTGTGACCCAATTGGCAGAGTTAAGAACATTGTTTGCGATGCAAGGGTCTAGGAATCAAGTCCCAAATAATGTATGCTTCGATGTTCAAAACAATAGGTCTAGCTCGACGTCGACATTGGATGGTTTAGATACGATAAAGGTAACTCTTTATTATAGCATCAACCTTTAACAACTAATAAAATCCATAACTCAATGAGTTAGTTTATTTATTTTTATCACTAATTCTAGTTGATTACATAAATTTACTATAATTATGTGGTACAAGTTGGGAAAATAGTAATAAAATTCACTTGTTTCTCGTTTCAGGCTAAACAAAGTATGAAAATAGATACATAATTGAGTTAGAGTTGATGACTAATCATAGTGTTCTATAATGTCCAAGTGTTTCAAAAAAGCTATAAAATATTCCCCTGTATGTGTTATGTATTTGTTGTACAGATCAAACGATAAAACTAGATAAATAGAACTTGTGTAAAAATTACATAATGGTCCTTATGTTACAAAAATTATAGAAATTGTCCTGTAATTTTTTTCTACAGAAATAGTCCCTGTAAGTTTTTTTACACTAATGGTCCCTGTAAGTTATTTTTATAGAAATGGTCCCTGTAAGCTTTTTTTTACAAAAATGGTCCCTATAAGAAACAATTACAAATCCCTGAATTTACAAAAGAAGGCACTATGCATAAAAAATTACAAAAAAGGTACCTCTAATGTATAGAAATACAAAATTTAGCATATTTTTTTTTTTTGTTTTAATGTGTTAGGTTTATGTTTTTTGAATTTCTTGATATCATATTACTTTGAACTTTGCTGTCAAATTATGTTTTACATCGAATTTTCTAACTTATTAACACATGAAATACACTACATGTTATATGATTGCAGGCTATTACTCATTGTGATTTGATGTTACCTTATGGTGATATGAACCAAAAATGTGCCAGAGGGATGGTCTTTCCTTATAATGATGGGTTAATTCACTCAGTTCCTTTACGCGAAAATCACTTGAAGGTTATGATTGACAACATAGATGAAAGATATAAAGGTATTCCTATTCCTGTGATGACAAATGAAGTTGATATCCTAGAAGATGCAGTTGGCACTGTAATTCAATGGCCACGGATCGCAATTGTTCTTAGTAAGGTACATCTTCATTATCCTTTAATTTTTTATCTACCATATATACATTTTCTGAAAATGAGAGAATTCTCTATATGATCCTATTAAACATCAAAATATTATATTTAGGCCGGCAAATAAAATATTTTGATGTTTAAGAATGGCATATACGACATTCTTGCTAATTAAAATGAGTTATTAATAGGAACAACAAAGCAAGGTGCCATCACAACAACAAATTCATACAACAAGTGCGCGACCATCAACTGCAAAGGCTGTTATAGAAAAAAACATGCCTAACCAAAAGATCAACAAACCAAGGCCAATAGAATCACTTCGTGACCTTTTGAAGACCAACCTAGTGGTTCATGTGGTAGCCGATGCTGGACATCTAGAAGCTGGGGCGTTTGATTTTTCAGTTACATATGAAGATTATTATCGTTTGTTGAAAAAACAAACAACTAATTTGTCCATCATAACAACTTGGCAGATGTAAGTGCATTCAAATTTCACTATTATTTATTTCCATGATATTTTCTTTTTAGGCTGCTTATAAGATATGACTTGATTGTAAATTTTTTGTAATATTGTTTGTAGCCTTCTACACTTAATGCTTCAGAAACGCATAGGAAAGTGTGCTTTCCTAAACCCGTATAAGATTCTTGGAAAAGCTTGTCAGGAAACTCCGATTGATGTCGTCAATTATCTCGTTGATGTGATGCAACTTCATCATGGAAAAGAGTTTCTTATCGCACCATACCTGCAAAAGTATCATATGTTGCTATCTATATTAATACTTATTATTATTTTTTATTTATTTATTTATTTTTGTGTTTTTATACTAAAATTTCAAAACATTGCTAGTACGCATTGGGTCCTCTTGGTGATTTGCCCTTCAAATCATATTGTATACATTTTGGATTCTCTGATGAAGCCTATGAAAAATCCGGTTGACAACTACTACCTGCTCCAACTTTTGAAAAAGTAAGAAATTTCTTAATATGACATGAAAATAACATTCTTTCTATAAGTTTGAATACAACTCTGTTGCTTGTTTATTTTTAGGGCTTCTGAGATGTATGAAAAGAACACATCAATTCCAATTGTATGGAAGCTCACTGAGGTAATTTATTTTTTTTACTTATCCACTACTTAGATGTAGTTTCATTTGTGATTTATGTTTACCTTCTATCACAATTTTAGTGCAACCAAGCTGGTGTATTGGAACGTGAGTTGAGTGGGCATTATGTAATGAATTGGATCTTTGATTTTGTGTTGAACAGACAACATGGATTTCCGAGCAGAGTAAGTATTTCTTAAAAAAATATTTTATTCTAAAGCAAGAAACAAATTGTTTCGTTATTTAGTACATTTAATTTTATTTTCATATAGTTTGGTACCCTTTGGAATGACAAAACTGCATTTGAGGAAAAGTTGTTGGCTACAACTGTTGCTACATGGGCCAGAGAATTTCTGAAAAATTTTATGAATGATGTGGTTGTCTAAAAGTGTATATAAGGTTAGTTGTTAATCTTTATAACATCCTACTTTTAGTTTAATGATTGTTCGCTAAATTCAACTCTTTTAAAATGCTAGATAAAAAACTAATTATTTGTTGTGTTTTGTTTTTTCAGTGGGGATGAAGGATAGCTGTTCTGTTTTGTTTTTAAGTGAGGTTGGAGGACAACTGCAACGCTTGATTATTGGACAACACTTGGGAAAACAATTTTATTTTTGAATTTATTGATGCAAGTTTTATGTAGCATGAAATGACAAAATCAAGGAGTTTTTAGCAACACTTAAGCATGTTTTTACCGATGACTATAATGATTGGTTATTTAACATGTTTATAAAAATATAATTTGTTCATCAATGCATAATTTTTGTTTTGTTTTGAATGTGAGCTATGGATGCAAGTATCACTTTGTGTTTTTTTATCAATTGTTTTTTTTATATTATGATTATTTGAATAAAGCTGGCAACATTTGAATTGTTATAAACATGCTTGCTGGTTGTTTTTGGAATATTGAAAAAGACCCGGTTATTTGAATGGAACCGGTCTATATTTAATCTTTATATGACCCGGTTTGGGGATTGGAACCGGGCTCTTTTAGCCATATATAACCCGGTTTGTACGGTTGGGCCGTGTCCTAATGTGCGTATATGAATAATTATTAGGCGGTATGTTCCTCTTATATGTCCCGGTTTGTTGAACAACCGGGTTCTTTTGTGTTAGATAGGAGCCGGTTTTAAAACCGGGTTCTATTACTTTTTCCACATAGGACTCGCTGGCTTTAGGACCCGGTTGAAAACCGGGTTATTTAAATGAAATATCCGGGTCCTATAAACTTTTTTGTAGTAGTGGATCCGATCCGATCCGATCCGGTTTGATTATGACACGCCAAATCCGATTCGGCATTTAATCCGAACCGGTTTCAAACCGGTTTTGACCGGTTTTCCGAGCCCCGCATCCGATTCGGTGTAATCCGATCCGATCCGAAATCCGATCCGATTTTCTCTATTTTTTTTTTTTTAAATACACATTTTTTGGACTTCAAATATAACACAAAATGCAACATGGGTACATTAAAATAGTTAAAACATACATCAAACGTCGAATTAGAAAGAGTTTTTAAACTAGTTAAATAATAATAATAATAATAAAGTGGCGTTATAACATTTAGCCAAATGGAAATAGTTTTTGTGGTCTTCCACTTCGTGTCGCCTTCATTTAATTATTCTTCAACCGCCACGCATGTAACTAGGGGTCTCATCAATGCCATATTCTTCATCCCCGTCTTCATCTTCGACTTCATCGTCATCGTCTTCGTCTTCCGGAGGTGTTGATAAGCCTTGTGCATATTCTTCATCCATGATCTCCGGTTCAACATTTTGTGATAGTGGGCCTTCTAGTGATGCCAAGTGTTATATACGTTCCACAGAATCCAAGTAATCCTTCAAGCAAACGCAAACCTCTACCGCAACCGGGGTAAGATTCGTCCTCAACTTTGATAAAACTCTTCCACTAAAAGAAAAAGCGGATTCCGAAGCTACCGTGGAAGCTTGGACGGTTAGTAAATCACGGGCCATGACGGAGAGAATAGGAAATTGTGCTTCCTTTTCTCTCCACCAAGCCAAAAGATCCAAATTTTTAAATTGTGGTGCACTCATGAATTTTAAAAAGTTTGAACCCATATAAATTCCAAGTTCGCTACTAGGCGTTAATGTGCGTGCTCTTTTGTTTTGCTCCTCCAAAAGGTAGTTATAGAGGTCGATATGAAAATCCGTTCGACCCCCACCACTACCCGATGCACCGCTAGTAGAGTCGGTTACACTTGCAAAAGTGTTTGACATATTGCCATATTTTGTAGCGTAAATGTCAAACAAATTAGTAAAAGTATCATTAAAAATGTTTATTTGGTTACGGATGTAGTTTGAGTTATCTTTGTGCAAATTTAAAGACATAGCAATTTTGGTAATCAAAGCCTCTACACCCGTAACATTGATACATGGGTTTAATGCTGCGGCGCAAGTAAAAAGTGGTGGCATTTCTTTGAAATATTTGACTAGTTTTTGTCTCATTGGTCTCGTAACCAAAACAAATATTTCACTTCTTTGTTCAAAACGTTCCAATTGTGCGGACATCAACCATAATTCATTTAGTAACAACGGACTTGTAGGGTAATACACACCCGATAGAAAAGTGGTTGATTGTTTAAAAACTTTTAACATTTCCACAAACTCTTCCATCAAATCCCAATCATAATCCGAAACCGGGTTTTTTCCTTTTGAAATTGTGTCGTAAAATAATTGCAAAGCGATTCTTTGACGTGTCAAACTTTCAAACATCATGCATGTTGAACTCCATCTAGTGTCACAATCCCAATGAGGACTATATGGAGTTACGTTAATGGAAATGGCAAACTTTCGATATTTTTCCATTGTAGCTTTATGTCTTCCAAAAACTCTAGTTAACACAGTTTTGAATTTTTCAATCGTCGAATCTATCATTTTTAAACCATCTTGTACCGCAAGATTAATAATGTGACAAACACATCTAGTATGAAAAAACGAGCCATCCAAAATAGGTTTATATTTTGCAATTAATCTTTTTGCCGCGGCGGTATTGTTACTTGCATTGTCAAACGAAATAGAGAAGATTTTGTCGCGTAAATTATAAGTCTCTATAACGCTTACTAAAATTGCAAATAATCTTGCCCCCGTGTGAGGATGCGCAAAAAGTTCAAAAGCAATAACTCGTTTGTTCATTACCCAAGTAGAGGGATCTATCCAATGTGCCGTGACACAAAGATAGCTTTTGGGACAACTACCGGCGGAGGACCAAACGTCACAGGTTAAAGAAACACGGTTTTTATATTTAAAAATCCCAATTGCATATCTTTTTTGGCTATATCCCAATACTTTAAAGCATCACGTCTAAGAGAAGTGCGACTTACTTGCCGGTATTGCGGTTGCATTTTTTCCCGCAAAATCCTTGTTAATCGTGGGTTGTCGAAGTGGTTGAAAGGATAGCCCTCTTGAATCACGAACTTGCAAAAGCTTTCACGAAGGTCATCATTGTTGTAAATGAAGATCGACCCGTCGGGAGTAATATTTGGTTGACTTGGATCGCTTTGACCTTTTACAGCCGGACAAGTTTTTGTTGTATGACTCCTTAACGTGCTATTGCCATCTTTTCCCAAAAACATTCCGCACTTCTTGCATCTCGCTTTTTCCTTCCCGTTCGACAACAAACACAAATCGTAATGTTTCCACACTTCTTTACTCCGAGTGGTTGGTATGATTTTAACCACCGTTGCATCCGAATCTTGACCCGCGGTTGAATTTCTCGAGCTCATTTTTTTGAGTATTATGAGAATAAGTAGTAAATTTTTTGTGTAAAATTGAAATGTAGCAAATGAAAGGTATATATAGGTGTTTAGAAGTGCCAAAAAGTCAAAAAAAGTCAAAGTAGCCGTTTTTTTTAAGTTCTAACGACTAGTTTAAAAAAAAAAAAAAATCGAAAATTCCTGTTTTTTAACGGTAACAAAAAATCCGGTTTTGGATCCGGTTCAGTCGTAATCCGGTTCTCGATCCGGGGGTCTAATCCGATTGGTATTCGAAGTCGCGATCCGGTTTCAATCTGGTGGCCGGTTCGGTCAAAACCGGTTTTGACCAAATCCGGTTTTCGGATCGGATCGGATCCTATAGCCCAAACCGGTTTTTGTGTGCATGTCTAGGTACAAGGTCCTCTCCCACATTGATGGAACCACACCCCCAGCCAAAACAGATGAAGACTATGAGTCTTGGTCTGAGATTGACACCATTGTTCTTCAATGGATCTACGGGACACTCTCAGACGATCTCCTCACCGTGTTCTTGAACCAGATTCAACAGCTTACAAAGCTTGGACCAGAATACAGAATATTTTTCTCAATAACAAAGGTTCTAGGGCTGCTGCTCTTGAACACGAATTCAACAACTTGACTCTTCGTGCGATGCCCTCTCTTGAAGATTATTTTCAAAGATTGAAAGAACTCGCTGATCAACTCAACGATGTTGATTGTCTAGTGAATGAAAAACGCCTCGTACTTCAGCTTGTTCGAGGCCTTCCCACTGGATACGACCCGGTCGGTGCGTATGTCAATCAAACTCTGCCCCCATGGGAGATTGCGTGCTCTATGCTTCAGCTTGAGCACCAACGTCAACATGCTCGAGATTCTCTATCCCCTGCCGATGTCACTGTTGCTGTCACCCACGAGCCTTCAAATCCCCCTCCCAATTATCCCAATCGGCGTGATACTTCTGCCCCAAATCGCCGACAACCACACCGACGTCCTTCTACTCATCGACCTGGCAACCCAACCTCAATTCAACGACACGCCTCTTCTTCTAATCGGCGTGGAGCGCAACCTAATCAACCCAGATCTCAATGGCCCAATCCCTCACAAATACCTTATTGGGCTGCTGCCCCCTGGTGGACTACACCTCCTTGTCCTTATCCAACTATGCCTGGATAGTCTTCTCCATCGAACAACCCACAAAATCGCCAACCCAATAATCAGACTAGCAATGCACAGCAGGCTCATCTTACTGATATCAATCCTTTTGAACCAACAGAACTTGGAGCGACTTTTAACACCATGACTTTGGAGCCAAATGACAATCAGTGGTACATGGATACAGGCGCCACCACTCACCTTACTGCCAATGCAGGTAAAATTTCTACCCCTTCTGTGCCATCTATTAAATCTGTTTTTGTTGGGAATGGAAATCGAGTGCCGGTATTAGGATCAGGTCACTCGACCTTACCCTACCCCACTAAACCCATCCACCTTATGGTTTATCTGTGAAGGACTACAAGAGTGGGAAACTACTGACGAGGCACAATAGCTCCGGGGATCTTTACCCAACCAACCATCCAACAAATTTATCTTTTTTTGTTTCCCTCTAATTCCTTGTTTTGGCATAACAGACTCGGACATCCGGACCATCATGTAATGGACTTCCTTAGTTCTAATAAAATTATTTCTTGCAATAAACTTGATCATTCATTTGTATGTAACTCATGTCAACTAGCCAAACACAAAAGACTGCCAAAACACTGAGTCCACATCAACCACACTTCAACCATTTGATCTCATCCATGCTAACTTATGAACCTCTCCCTTACCAAGCAAAAGTGGCCATAAATATTATCTTCTAATTGTTGATGACCACACACACTATACATGGGTCTTTCCTTTAAAATTTAAATCTGAAACCTATGACAAATTCAAACACTTTCACAAATTCATCCAAACACAATTCGAAAAAAATATAAAAATTTTCCAGCATGACAAAGGAGGCGAATTTGACAACCACCACTTCAACCAATTCGCCTCAACCACCGGCCTTCATATCCGCTTCTCTTGCCCACACACCTCCCAACAAAATGGGAAAGTTGAACGCATGATTCGTCGTATCAACGAACTCATGCTCACTCTTCTTACCCGTGCTTCCCTCCCACCTACATTTTGGGTTGATGCCCTCCATACAGCTACCTACCTTCGCAACATCTTACCCACCAAACTACTCAACTTCCACACTCCAACTTTCGCACTCTACCAAAAACACCCTACATATGACCACCTACGGGTCTTCGGCTGTGCATGCTACCCCAACCTCACTGCCACCCGCCAACATAAACTCTTCCCTAAATCCACCGACTGTGTGTTCCTCGGATACCCGGCCAACTATCGGGGTTATCGATGCCTTGACTTATCCACCGGCAAGATCCTCCTTTGTCGTCACGTCACATTTGACGAAACATCATTCCCTTTCTCTACTCCAATCCCGCAACCTAATTATTCCTTCCTAGACACCGATCCCTCACCCATTATATATCAAACTCCTCAATCCCCTACTCAACCTACCTCTTCACCTTCTCACGACCCCAACCCCAGCCCGGACACTGAAGCTCCAACAACCACTCAACCACACGAAAATCATTCGCCTGAAACAACCCCAGTAAATCCCATATCTCCATCCACAAAAAGAGTCACATCCTTCCCCATCACATATTCCAGACGGCCACCACATCCCCCATCAAACCCCCCTCCTACCTCCACCCACACCATGACCACCCACTCCAAAGCCGGAATCACAAAACCTAAAACCCCATTCAACCTTCACACCACTTCCACTGACCCAACCATTTCGCCCCTACCCAAATCCTATAAAATGGCAATATCTGATCCTAACTGGCACTCAGCTATGACCAACAAATACAAGGCTTTAATAGACAATTACACATGGGATCTAGTGCCTCAACCAAACGATGCTCATGTTATACGTTGTATGTGGCTATTTCAGTACAAGTTTCCTGCCGATGGGACTCTTGAAAGATACAAAGCACGCCTAGTCATCAATGGGAAAAGCCAACAAGTAGGCGTCGACTGTGATGAGACCTTTAGTCCTGTGTAAACCCCACCACGATACGAACAGTTCTTAGCCTTGCTGTGTCACGATCTTAGCCTATTCACCTGCTAGATGTAAAGAATGCATTCCTACATGGGAACTTAAATGAAACTATCTATATGTTCCAACCACCCGGGTTTGGCGATACCAAAAACCCAACACAGGTTTGTCGCTTACGGAAATCATTATACGGTCTTATACAGGCCCCACGAGCTTGGTACCAAAGATTTGCAACATTCATCCAAACATGTGGATTTAAAAGCACCACCAGTGACAACTCCCTTTTTGTCTACAAGCATGGACACCAAATGTCATATCTTTTATTATATGTAGATGGCATCGTCCTCACTGCCTCAAGTGAATCCCTTCTCCGGCGTTTCATTGGCCTACTGTCTAAAGAATTCGCTATGACTGACCTCGGCCAACTTCATCACTTCCTCGGCATCCAAGTTCAACATCAAAATGGTGGTCTATTTCTCTCTCAAGCTCAATACATCAACGACATCTTAACACGTGCCAAAATGCAAAACTGCAAACCATGTACCACTCCTGCCGACACGAGCTCCAAGCTTAGCCTCACTGCTGGCCAACCAATGTCCGACCCCTCTCTCTACCGCAACTTAGCTGGTGCTCTCCAATATCTCACTTTCACACGACCAGATATCGCATATGCTGTCCAACAAGTGTGTCTCTTCATGCATAATCCACATGAACCACACTTCAATTTTCTCAAACGCATTCTGTGGTATCTCAAAGGAACCAGCAACCACGGTCTACACATCACTCCTTCTAAATCTGCCAAACTTACTGCGTATTCAGATGCAGATTGGGGAGGGGGCCCGGATTCCCGACGCTCCACTTCTGGCTACTGTGTCTTCCTTGGTGATAACTTGGTCTCTTGGTCATCTAAACGTCAACCCACAATCTCTCGTTCTAGTGCTGAGGTAGAATACAAAGGGGTCGCATACACTGCAGCTGAAACAACTTGGCTACGAAACTTGCTTCTCGAGTTACACCTTCCAGTACGCCAAGCCACATTCATTTATTGTGACAATCTCTCAGCCGTTTATCTCACACAAAACCCTGTGCAACACCAACACACAAAACATGTTGAAATTGATATTCACTTTGTCCGAGAAAAAGTTCGCATGGGTTCTCTTCGAGTTCTCCATGTTCCGGCAGATTACCAATATGCTGATATCTTCACAAAGGGATTACCTCGTCAACTTTTCACTCGCTTCCGATCCAGTCTCTCCATCCGACCAGCTATAGTTTCGACTGCGAGGGACTATTAGTAGAACATAACATATCTCCATATATATTTGTGTTTATTGTAAATTGATTGTGATTAGCAATTTCCTAGAATATCTCTTTGTATATCCCTGTAATCTCTCCTATTCCTGATGTATATATTGAGGGCCCCTCATATCAATAACATCATCAAGATTCATAGATTTACAAATATCTTATAATATCTTACAAACGGAAATTAAAATACATAATTTTTTTAAACATAATACTAATCAAAAAAGGACGTAAGGGGGTTCCTTTAAAAGTAAAAATTAAATAAAAACTCATCAAAAAAGTGTATTTTTTTCTCATTAAACAAATACTAATCAAAAAAGGGTTCCTTTAAAATTAAAATACATAATTTTTAATATCTTATAATATCTGTCTAAAGAGTTCCGATTGAATTGAAATTGAAACTTTTCTTGTGAAATTGTAGGGTTAAAAGGGTATTTTAGCCCATATACAACTGTCCTGTTTAATTGCTTAGCCCATTAAGTTAAAAAAGAAACAACCCCTCAATTAGAAAATAAAATTTTAATCTAATTAAAAATCATGAAATTCCTCAATTGTTAAAATATTTATAAAGAAAATGGGTTTTACCACATTTTTTAATTTTAGAAACCTAAGTAATGGAAGGTATCAGATTCCATTCCATCAAGCAAAACAAACAACTTTTCTTAATTCCAATGGAATAAAACTTTCCATTCCTTTTCTAATTCCACCACACCAAAAACTACCTAAGGTTTTATAAAATTGAAAACCAAACATATATAAAATAAAAAAAATAAAAAAATAAAAAGGTGAAGAGTATCATACTCCAGAAATGGTATCTGCTGAAGGTGTCCCAAGAAGATCAGGTATTAATTCCAACTGATGAACAACACTTTTACCAAGGAAAAGTGGTTTTCTAGTTAATACTTATGCAAATATACACTGCAATTAAAAACGTTACAATTAATTATTTAAATAGAAAAAAAACACACAATTGGGATATTAGAAAATCATAAAAGTGTTCATGATAGCAGTTAAAGATTGGTTTTAGATCTAAAATTAACTAAAATCAGATAGAAAATGGAATTAACAGTGTTCAAGATTGACTCAAGAACTTGGAAAAACACAAGGGTATATCTGGAACTGAACCATGACTAGGTAAATATAAGCTTTAAAACAGAATGTGGAAGTGAGGAAGAGTTGTGGAAGCAATATGGAATGTTATTCTAGTCTACTGGTATTTGTAGTATTAAGGTGTATTTATAGTATTAAGGTGCATTCAGGTTGTTATTAATTAGGGAAACTCATAGAAAAATGGAAATCCCATGTCTTCTCTAACCAGGGTTCAAATTCTCAACAAACTATGATGAATTCAATGAAGCCCACTTCTAGTCTTGACCCAGGTCAATGTATGAGTGGGAGTGGGGCCCAACAAGTGAACATGAATCCTATGGGTTCCCTACAGCCGAACCTAAACATGCTTCATAATAAACAACAAGCACAACTTCTTCAAAGCCAACAACTGAAGCAATTTCAAAATCGCCAAATGCTGCAACAATTTCTTCAGAAATAACAACAACAACAGCAACAATTCAGACAACAACGGGGGACTCAAGTTAACCAAATGACTCAGCTTCATGATATGAAACTCAGACAACAACATCAAATGGGCGGTGTGAAACCGGGGACTTTTCAATAGGTGACAGGACAGCGGGCGGGGTACCACCAACAAATGAAGCCAGGTGGCAGTCCGTTTTCACCTCAGTTAATCCCAGGTGGGGTCCCCACAAATTTCTCAACACGCTTCTCCACATATCGAGGAACAGAATATGTTTAATCCTGCTAACTCGCCTTTTACTGTTCCTTCACCTTCAACTCCTGGAGCTTCTCCTTTACCAGGGGAGTTAATGGGTGGTGTTGGTGTGTCATCTTTGAGTTAATGTGTGTGTGTGTGTGTGTGTTTTTACGTCTCTGTGTATATTTCTCAGTGTAAGAGCAGAAGGCTTTTTATGGTCATACCAAAGTGCATTAATTTCTTTGAATTCCATATGCTGTATATTCAGAGAGGAACAGAACTTGAAAGACTCCAATGGCTATCAGAGTAATAATGTCCCTATCTATGCTCATAATGTCCATGTTCCTCTTCTGCCTCCTTTCCTATTTACCTCTAATTCAGTCAAACATTTCACACTAACTAGCATTGTGATTGGAGCTTGCAATATTACGCCCAAAACACCTTGGGATTTTCCAGCTTTAACAACTTTGCATATCAGGGGCAATTGTATTGTGTAGAGGAATGACGATTGAAAAAGGAAAAAAAAATGGAGAAATTAAACCCTAACGTAATATATTGTGCAACTAAATCAAACCTAACCTAATATATGACTAAAGCAAATAAAATCAAGAGATTTACCTGAATCAGAAGTTAACGAAGAATAATTTCAGATTTTACAATTGTGGAGGCTGTCGGAATCGGAAGCTGCAATGGTCTGTTCTTGTCGTCATCTGTTTGAACAGAGAGGGTGAGATTAGGTTAAGCAAGCTGCAACTCAAGAGTGTCCTCAATTTCAAATTTGGGTGAGAGCGTGTTTAATTGGAGTGACAAATCTGATTTGGGACAGAAGAAAACTTACACGAAGTTTGGAATTGGAGCGTCAATTTCAGCGAGAGATCGTCAATGTTAAAAACATAGCGTGCATATGCTCTGTCGGTATTCTCTCGCTAAACACGTACCGGATGGCCAAAAAGTCGATCTTTTTTTTCCGTCGTTGAACCCTCGCCAAATGCCTTCGTTTTCCACCAATTACGTAGGGATAAGAGTCCGTCGATAAATACTTGTGAGATCTGTAGTTGATCCCTCGCTAAACATTCTCTAATATGCTAAATGTTGAATAAATAAAATAATTGTTTAAACCATCGCATATCTCTCGTAATTCCCTCTCTATAAGCCTAAAATTTACTACAGATTTAATCCCTCTCTAAATCCGTAGCTGAAACTCAAGTTTCTAGTAGTGGAAGTTGTTAACACTGAGATCAAAATGTGTAAGATTTCGTAAGAAAGAGAATGCAAATTGGTGGAGTGTACCTTTAAATCCAGATGAACTGAGGTTCAACCTGTGAATGCTCCAATCAGCATTGCAAACTACTCCAAACCTAGAAGTGCATTGAACTGATGCACTGGAATTCATAGGGAGGGGAATCCATGAAGAGAGCAAGGAGTTTCTGGGGATTTGAAGGCTTGATTTCCATTCAAGTAAAGCATTGGTTTCCTCCAAAGATGCATAAGCAATATTTGGTATTCGGAGGAGTGTAATGATTAATATAGCTAGAGAGAAGAGTAACAAGTTTGAAGACAACATTATCTTGCTTTGGTGTGTCATGTTTTGAAAAATGATGGTTTGTGTCCCTTTAATTTATACTTGAACAACCATTTTCTGTTTTTTATTTCTCTATTTTCAACAAAAAAAATCTTGGTCAATGTCATATTTATCATACAGCGTGTCTTTTATGTCAGTGTCATATTTTCCACCAAGAAATGTATTACACTTTGAATTATATTCCATATTACAATCCAGGAAGAAAAAAAAACGAATGTTCACATTGTGTCATGGGTCAGTGGGGATGGGATGGGAACGTCCTACAAAAGAATTTATAATTAATAAATGTAGTGCAACAACAAAATTCCTTGGTAAAAAATAAATTAGTTGTTCATATTTGACTGTTTTTACTACTGAAAATATTGAAAGGGTAGAACAAGTCAAGACAATGTCTGAAACGCCATAAGAGAAACACACAGCTGCTATCATGATTAATTCTTTTTTTACCATTTTTTTGCTAAAATAATTTTCTTGTTTCATGGTATTCAGTGTCTATTTTAGTACATACCATCGTTGATGATGCTGGATATTCTGTACATTTTACTGTCCTTATCTTCACATGATTGACCAAGTTTTTCCTGTAAATTTGTTTTGCACACCAACTATTCGACTGTTTCTTCAGTCAAGTCAACATTTTCTTTTTCTTGAGATCTAATCATTACGCCAATTTCAGAGCAATCTGAAACAATTGCTCATTCTCGTATTCTTTGTCTTGTCGTAATCGTTGGAAGAAGTCTTGTAAGAATTGACATTGTTGCAAAGGAACAAATAAGGCTTTATATATATATATATATATATATATATATATATATATATATATATATATATATATATATATATATATATATATATATATATATATATATATATATATATATATAGGATATAGATCCGGTAAGAAATTTTTTTTGGTAGGAAGGTAAGAAGTTTTTCTTTTTACATATTTTTTTGACGAACAAAATAAATGAATCACTAAATGATTCATTTGTAAGATGATTCACAAGAAAAAATTCCCAAAAAAACATTTTTATGATTCATTTTTAAGTAAATTAAGAAAAAATTCATTTTTATGATAATTTTAGTGAATAACAACAAAATCATTGTATAAATGAATCATCGAGATGTTTTTTTGAGATTTTTTTCTTGTGAATCATCTTACAAATGAATCATCTAATGATTCATTTTGTTTGTTCGTGAAAAAAATATGTAGAAAAAAAACTTCTTACCTTCCTACCAAAAATTTCCTTCTTATTTGATCTTGACTCTATATATATATATATATATATATATATATATATATATATATATATATATATATATATATATATATATATATATATATATATGGGAAAAGTGAATATACCCTTAAGGGTATATCAGTTTAGGTACTCAAAGTCATAATAATACGTCGTTTTGTTTGATATATTCATTATAATATTGTTAAACTTCAATCATTAACTTGATTTATATTTAGTATTTTTAAATTTTCACTATTATCTTCCTTTTACATCACACCTTTTTGTCGAACACTTCCTAGGCTATATATATTATTGTTGAAAATGACAATTATGTAAGAGGAAGATAAATATGAAATTTATAAAAATCTTTGAAATAATTCAAGTTAGAAGTTGAATTATAAGAACATTGGACAATTACAATGTCTATGTATGATACAAAACGATGTAGTATGGTGAGTTTGGGTACCTAAGCTTATATACCCTTATGGGTATATATATATATATATATATATATATATATATATATATATATATATATATATATATATTTTGATTAGAGTATCTTAAAAATATTGTTTGAAAAGTAGGGGCAGTTTTAATGGTTTGTTTTAAAAGTAGGGGAACTTTTTTAAATATGGCATTTTAAAAAGCGAAATGGTGGTGTATATATATATATATATATATATATATATATATATATATATATATATATATATATATATATATATATATATATATATATATATATATATATTAAAGTCCTAATATTTTCATCAATTTGATAAAAAAGTTTTAAACATTATTTTTTTAACAGTATCCAAATTACCGGTAATTTTTGAAACTTTTACTCTTTTCTCCGATTAGCTAGTAATTAGGATTTTTTTTTTGTCAAAAAAATAAAGTTTATGAGTTTTTTGTCAAATCCTAAATTAGGACCTTACTGTCAAAAAAATAAAGTTTAGAATTTTTTTGTCAAATCGTTGAAAATATTGGAACTTTAGTGTATATATCATTTTTTGTTAGAAATTTAATGGTATGATAGTCTTTAGGCATAAGAGTTATTGAAACATTCTCTAATCAGCTAGATCCTATTGAAATCATTAACGTTTGCTTCTTGTTAAATTGTTTTTTAATCTCAACAAACCGACATTAAAAAAATTGAGATAATCAAGAAAGAAAGAAAGAATCAGGGTTGTGTTGGCTTTTTGCAATCCCAAAAATGGAGAAATAAGAAACAAAAAAAACCAAATTGCCCTTCTTTCCCTTCTCCACATTGACACCCTTTTGACTAGGTATGTGTTGTTTGTATTTGTATAATCTGTACCCACATTCACACCCTTTTGACTAGGCATGTGTTGTTTGTGGCTGTGTTGGTTTTTGCAGTCCAAAAATGGAGAAAAAAGAAAGTTTTACAAGTCTTTTCTAACAAAAAAAAATGATATATACACTAAAGTCTCAATATTTTCAACGATTTGATAAGAAAATCATAAACTTTATTTTTGTGACAGTAAAGTCCTAATTGGACGATTTGACAAGAAAGTTCTAAACTTTCTTTTTTTGACAAAAAAAAAATCCTAATTATAGGTTAACCGGAAAAAAGGATAAAAGTGTCGAACTCTCAGTAATTTGGATTTTACTATAAAAAAAAATTTAAAACTTTTTTATCAAATCGATGAAAATATTGGAACTTTAATGTATATATTCCTTTTAAAAATCTATGAAATATATAATTATTTTTTAATTTTAACACTTAGAAATTATATAAATATTTTTAGTTAAATTGTTTATTTCTTTATTTTTTTTTTCTTATCCTTAACTAGTATATGAACTATAATAATATCTTATTGTAAATATAAAGATTAATATATCATATTATAAACCATATAATAATATTTTTATACCAATTTAAAATAATATCTTAATAAATCAAATTTGATTTGTAATTTCAAAAGAAAGTTAGATGATATGTCTCTAAAAACAAAAGCAAAAGTTATGTTTACTATATATCTCAATAACCAAAAAAATGATTATATGAATTGTCACATCGTATTGTAAAATCTTTCACCATTTTTACATTATAATTTCAACTTATTAGATGGAGATTCATTTCATACTTTCTTTAAAAAATTTCATCATTATTTCCTCATTATAAGTTCATTCATCTTTCATTTGCCTCTATCAATTTGGTGGCATATATAATATTTCACGACTCATAAATGATTCAAGTTGACGTGATGTATTATATTTGGGTGAGAATGACGAAAATTATTGTGGGAAAGTTATTGTTGGAATTAAAAAAACATCTCATGAATAAACAAGACTGTCTATAAATATTGGTTTTGTAGATCCCCTTTGTAATTTTGATGTACCACAACGAGATATAGTTACAAGTGGCCAATTCCTCAAATCTATCATTTCTTTTTTCCGAATGATGATATATTTCAGGTAGATGATGACTTTAGGTTTGATGAACCCAACTTATGTGATAGTGACGATAGTGTAAGTGAATCACAAAGAAATGTTGAGGATGATTCAGATGACATGTGTGAGACTCTAGTTGTGAACTTTATAAATTATATTGGAGTTCTAGGAGATGATGACATTGAAATTTCTCAAGATACCATTCATATAGATGTTTGGGAAGAATCACAAAACAAAACAATGTTCAGAATTTGTAACACCGTAAATTTTTAAACAAATTTTTCATTTTTAAATCGCATAATTCTCATATCACATTTCACAAAAAACTCATTTAGTTAATTTACAAATCGCAACTCCATGATTGTTTAATTAAAATCCAGGATCCTCGTAGCTCTTTAACTGGTGTGTACAATCAAGTCGACGCCTTCCCACGTTCCTGAGAAAACTTGAAAAACATAACACATAACACAGTAAGCATGAAGCTTAGTGAGTTCCCCAAAATACCAAATACAACGCATTAGCAACTCGAGGCTATATCTCCGTAAGACCCCCCGGTCGATGTATCTCAGTAGGACCCTCCAATCCCGAGGCTCATTGGACCCTCTAGTCCGGTCTTAGTGAGGACCCTCTGGTCTCACACCTCGTTGGACCCTCTGGTCCGGTCTCAGTATCACATAATATAGCATATATATCATATAGAAAAAAAAGCATAACTCAAGTAAGCACATAAGACCCTCTGGTTACACGTAATTACCAATCTAGGTAAGGTATAGTGAGAAGACTCACCTCGAAGCAAGCAAGCAATTACACCTCGTACACGAATCACCAATCTAGCCTCCGCCTAACACATATGATAATTATCTCTATTTAAAATCGCAACTCTAAATAAAATCATACTAGCCCCTCTCTAACTCTTGGGATGGGTAAAAGACCATTCTAGACCTCCATGATCTCCATTACTCATTTTGATCAAAATCTCAAAAGTCAACAAAAGTCAAACTCGAGTCAACAGTCCATGTTTGATCTGAATTGCCATGTACACCCATGTGACTAATCGAGTCCCCCCCCCCCCCCCCCCGCTTTCCTCAACAGTCTCGTGGAGGTTGACTCAGCTCATCGAGTTGACTCCCAACTCACCGAGTTATCGCATAGCTGAACATTGGGACAAACCCTAACTGACTCGTCGAGTTAACTCATGGACTCGACGAGTTCACTTAACTTGATTTCTCATTCAGGCGTCCAAGGTCAGCTCTACCACACTAGACTCTAGATCCAGTCCTTAAAGGCACAAAAGTCGCATAAAGTCTCGACCTTTACGTTCAT